TTTATTGCCAGCAAGCATAGAGCACTGCTGGCAGTATTAGCAGTCTGGTTGTGTCAGGGAAAAGGCATGTTTTTAATTTAAGAATGGAGTAGGGAGCAACTTGAAGTGTAGCCTTTCCTTAAGCAGCAAATACTTAATAACTCACAAGAAATTCATTCTTAGTATTTTTTTAATGTTTTCTTTCTTGAAGTATGATCTGGTTGAGTACACTGTATTCACTAAGTATTCACTGACACACTAATTCGCTTCTTTAGCTGTATTAGAGTACATAATTACATAACCAGGCTGTATGCTTCACTCATGTTTATTTTTTAATAAAAGTTTTATTCCGTTAATAATTTAGAGTGCATAATGAAATGTGCAACCAGTATCAAAATTGATTTAAGGACACTTTCATTACCCCAAAAAGAAATCCATTAGTAGTCACTTTCTGTTTCCCGACACCTCCAACCCTAAGTAACCACTACTCTACTTTGTATTCTATAGGTTTTCTTATTTTGGATATTTCACATAAATTAAATCATATAGCATATGGTCTTTTGCCACTGGCTTCTCTTCATTCAGCATAATAACTTGAAAATTCATCAGTATTCTGACACATCATGACTTCGTTCTTTTTTCCTATTACTTTATTCTGATCTTCCTTTTCATGTTGTATACCAGTAGTAGAGCTTGAACCCAGGGCCTGGGTGCTGTCCCTTAATTTTTTTGCTCACAGCTAGCACTCTACACTTGAACCATAGTTCTACTTCTGTTTAGTTTGTTTTGTTTTTGGTGGTTAATTGGAAATAAGCATCTCACAGACTTTCCTGGCCCATTCTATCATCAAATCTCTATCTAATTTCTCAGTCTCCTGAGAAGCTAGGATTACAGCCATGAGCCACCAGCACCAGGCTTTAATTTTCCTTTTTAAAGACATACATTTTATTTAGTGATTCATCCCACTTTTTTTTTCTTTTTCTTTTCTTTTCTTTTCTTTTTGTCGGCCATGGGGCCTGAACCCTGGGCCTGGGTGCTGAACCTCAGCTCTTCTGCTCAAGGCTAGCACTCTACCACTTGAACCACTGTGCCACGCCTAGCTTTTTCTGTTTATGTGGTGCTGAGAAATTGAACCCAGGGCCTCATTCATGCAAGACAAGCACTCTGCCACTGAGCCACCTTCCCAGCCCCTATTTCCACTTTTTGACTCATGAATATTAATGAGAACATGCATTTATATATTTTGTGAGAGCATATATTTTCATCTCATGTGCACAAATATTAAGCCTAGAAGTAGAATATGGTACTTTATATTTTAATGTTTTGAGGTACTAGCAAGTGTTTACAAGTAGCTAGCTGTATTATTGTACAGTGCCATACCACCAGCTGTATATGAAAATTCCAGTTTTCTTTAAAGCAGAAAAGTTTGTAATTTTTATGAAGACTCATTAATTTATTTTCTTATGTGTCTTTGGCATTATACCTCATAGACAGTTACCTAATTCAAACCTGCAAGATTTTGTTTTTGAAGAGTTTTATAGTTTTAGCTCTTAAATTAGATCTTTAACCTATTTTGAGATATGTATGTGTCAAAATCAGATCCAGGGCCTTGCACATTACTAGCCAAACACTATATCAGCACACCTCATCCTGGTCCTGAGTTGGATTTTATATGTGATGAAATCATTCAGTTTCTTTTTGTTGTTGTTGTTTCCAATTCCTGGAATTCATTTTGATAAATATTATTTTATATGATTAGAGGCACATAGGCATTGTACTTTTGTGTTCTTCCCCTAACAGTATCCTCTTGTGATCTCACTGTGTGTGAATGCCTAGAGCTATTTGTGGGTTTTTTTAGACATGTGGCTGTCCATTTGTCCCAGCATTATTTGTCTTAGCACTGTTATTGGAAATCAAGTGACCATAAATGTGAAGGTTTATTTTTAGACTGTCAGTACTATAAAAATATATTCCATTTGTCCACATTCCCTGCATTATCTATCTATACAGGTAATATGTTGCATATAGACACATGGATTATGAATGATAGTGCATTTCTATTTTACTTTAATTCTGCAAGATCTATTAGGTTCCTCTATATACCAGACATTGTGCTTGACATATCCATGTTACTTTCTTTTGGGAACCAAGCTATCCTCCCTCAAAGCCCATATTTCCTTTCAAAGATTTACTTTAGCAGTCTATAGCATCTCTTTCTTATTGAGACGTGAAGTGATTCCTGCCTTATTAAAACCTGTAGAGGAAATTGCAAATCCGTCTGATTTGTAGTACTTTCTGCAAGTTGTAGTTTATCCAACTATATAAATGCTTCAAAGTCTGAGTGCATTTTAGAGGACTTAGAAGAATGAACACTGGCCGGGCGCTGGTGGCTCACGCCTGTATTCCTAGCTACTCAGGAGGCTGAGATCTGAGGATCGTGGTTCAAAGGCAGCCCGGGCAGGAGAGACCGTGAGACTCCTATCTCCAATAAACCACCAGAAAACTGGAAGTGGCGCTGTAGCTCAAGTGGTAGAGCACTCGCCTTGAGCTAAAGAGCTGAGGGACAGTGCTCAGGCCCAGAGTTCAAGCCCCACGACCGACAAAAAAAAAAAAAAAAAGAATGAACACTGGCCAGGGTGGTCCAATAACTATTGATGAAGATGAAATTAGTTTGTTTTTTAGGTTTTATTTTGTGTGTGTGTGTGTTCATCTGTCTAGTTGTTAGTTTTATACTAGTCCTGGTCTTAAAGTCAGGGTCTGGACACTGTCCTGGAACTTTTTTACTCAAAGCTAGCACTCCACCATTATAAGCCGCAGCTCCACTTCCAGCTTTTTTTTTTTTTTGTAGTTAATTGGAGATAAGAGTTTAATGGGCTTTCCTGCTTTCTTTCTTTCTTTGGTAAATATTGTTAAATTGTTATAAAAGTGATATACAGAGTGATTACACTGTTATGTAAGTCAGATAAAGAGTACATTTCATTTTGGACAGTGTCACTCATTCCCTCCCCCTCTCCCAGTTTTTCCCTCCTGTCCCCACCCACAAGTTGTATACTTTATTTTCAACAGTGTCTAGTGAGTACTACTGCTGCATTTGTTCACCTCTTGTGTCCCTCCATTTCTATTTTCCCCCTTACCTTCCTAAAGACAGATAAATGAACAAACAAGGCAAAAAGAAAAGAAAGTAGAAACAGCAAAGAAAAAAGCCCTCTTCTTTCCATTTCCTGCAGTTCATTTTGGTATATATATAATCAATCATATATGTATATATGTATGTACATATATATGTAGGTATGTATATGTGTATATGTATGTATATGCATATATATATGTATGTTTGGGAGGAAGGCTGGTCCTAGGGTTTGCTCAGGCCTAGGTGCTGTCCCTGAGCCTTTGCTCAAGGCTAGCACTCTACCACTTGAGCAACAGCACCACTTCAGGCTTTTTCTGAGTAGTTTATTGGAGATAAGAGTCAGGCTTTGAGTGGCTAGGATTATAGGCATATCTGGTACATAGACATTGTGCTTCTTGGCTGGCTTTGTACTATGATCCTCAACTTCCTGAGTTGCTAGAATTACAGGTGTGAGCCACCAGTGCCCAGCAAAGTTATTTTCTAAAGTGGAAATATTTGGCACTTACCCCTATGCAACCTGAGTGGTTCAGAAAGTTGGTGAGTGTAGGTGCCAGCAGCAAGTTAACCCAGAGAAGAGCTGCCAGATGGAATGCCCATGTTCTCCTTTCAGATTTTGTTTTAGTAGCAGTTCCTTACCAGAGTAAAGTTTCAAAGAGGAAATGATATTGACAGATAATGAGGTACTTCTGGGTTTAAGAATTAAAGGAGGGGCTGGGAAGGTGGCTCAGTGGTAGAGCACTTGCCTTGCAGGCATGAGGCCCTGGGTTCGATTCCTCAGCACCACATAAGCAAAAAGAAAAAAGCCGGAAGTGATGCTGTGGCTCAAGTGGTAGAGTGCTAGCCTTGAGCTGAAGAGCTGAGGGACAGCGCCCAGGCCCAGAGTTCAGGCCCCACGACCGGACCCAAAAATAAATAAATAAACAAGAATTAAAGGAGGCAAGATATATGTGTGTGTGTGTGTATTTGCATATATATACATATTTCTATATATGTGTATATATACATTTACGAGTGAGTGTGTGTATACATATTGTGTGTGTGTGTGTGTACACACACTAGTGGTGGTTTGTCTCTAGATAGGCATTATGCTCCTATCAATTGAAGGGATAGGCCAAAGAGCTGTAAGCTTAGCAGATTTGATGATTATCTAAAATAATTAAAGATATTCTAATGTTTTAAATTGAGAACATTGGAAAGATAATTATATCAATGCTTGTACTGAACAAATGGCTTTAAAGATAATAATCTTTTATGTGCTTGTTAGCAAAATACTGAAGTTGATAATAAGAGGTGCTGGACTTAACCATTAAAGAGCTATCATGTCTGATATTCAGGAGCTTTAACAATCACTAGACACAGTAGGGCTGATTTCTACCCATTGTTGCTTATTCACTCTAGAACACATTTTAAAATGAACTTTCTCTGCTACTTAAAAGTTAGGTAGCTGGGGGTTTTGTTTTTCCTCTATGTATAAAAATACTGTACTTCGTCTTACTGGGGGTTTTTTGGAGGGAGGGCGCAGTGCTAAGGAACCTCTCACTCTTAGACAAATACTTTTCTACTTGAGTCACACTCTCAGGCCTGTTTTGCTTTATTTGCAGTTAGGAGCCCACATTTTTGCCAGGTTTGGCCTCGGGCCACAATCCTCCTCCTTATACTTCATCCATTGCTGGGGTTTCAGGCGTGAGCCACTGTGCCTTGATGGTGGATTTTGAGAGGTTTTTTTAAAAAGTCACCCAGATATTATGGTTGGGTAGTGTCATGATCAAAACTTGGTCAGTACAGATAAGTTTTAATGACCCAAGATGATTTTGACTATAAACATATAAATTTTGAATGTTTCTAAAATGTATTATGATAAAACTAATCCATCCTTAAAATTTTCTTTCAGGAATTGTTCCATCTTCTGTTGTCCTGACTTCTTTCCAAGTGATGTCAAGAGTTTTTCTAATATGGGCAGTAACACATAGTGTCAAAGAGGTAAGTAAAATGATAGTAGGAACAGCAGCTTGTCTTCTGTACATGGTTGTTGTGACTAAAGGTCATATCAGAATAACCAAGAGAAAGTTTACATGGTCTGTAGGACATGGGTCCAGATCTACAGTGTTGCTAAAGATAAGACTGAGTTAGGGAGTTGGAAGTGTGGCTCAGTTAGTAGAGCAACAGCCAGTAAGCAAAAGCATCAGGACTGAGTTTGAGTCCTAGTCTTGGATCATAAAAAATAATAAAGAAAAGAATCAATAGTGAATTCCTAGAATAAATTCCCTTGGAGGTTTAGTGGGGGTATGGTCTGCAACTCACTTATATTTGTTTGCTCTTGTTTATACCTAACACTAAACTGGGTATCTACAGTAGGTAGATGGTACTAGGTAGATGAGGTAGGAATGGAGAACATTGACTCACTTTTAGTGTACTTCTATCTTCATGGGACCAGGAGAAACAAATTTGTTTCATCCAGCCCAGCAGGGCTAATAGAATTGCCAAGTGTGCTGTCTAGCTGTTCTGAGAGTGCTCCATACCAGGCTTCAAGTGGCAAACACAAGGAGGAAGACCAAGGACACTCACTGGAAGGATTTGGGAAAGAAAGCCATCATTACCATGAGTATAAATGCAACTGACTTGGATTTTTGTTAAGTTTTATTTTGTTTTTTGTTCTGGTACCAGGGCTTGAACTCAGTACCTCATGCTCTCACTTGACTTTCTTGCTTATGACTGGTACTCTTGTCACTTGAGGCGCTCCTGTAGTCCAGCTTTGTTGCTAGTTTAGAGATGGAATCTTGTAGATTTTTTTTTTTTTTTGCCAGAGTAACTTGAATTGTGATGCTCCAGGTTTCAGCCTGTTGAGGAGATATGATTACAGGCATGAGCTATCAGTGCCCAGTCTGACTTTGGTTTTGTTTGTTTGGCAAAGGTGGAGGAAGGGGGTATTCTAGTCTTTCAAATTTAGTTATTTCTTGCTAATGTCACCTTAAGGTATAGTAACTAGGTGCAAGAAAGATTCACTTTTCAATTTTTCAGTGACAGTGACTTTTCACTAGCGTTATTGGATTCTTTGAAGTTCATGAAATTGTCTGCATTATTCTGCTGTGTTTTTTGTCCTCTATTATTTTTGAAGTCCCTGTCAGAACATTTTGTTTTTCAGGATTTGTTTTGACAGTTTCAATTATATTTCAAACTAAAGAGGTTTTTTTAAAAAACTTTTTTGTTGGCCTATGATATAAGTATAGAAAGTGCACATAACTAATGAGTTCTTAGCCAAAGTCTAATCAACTTTGATTAAAAGCTGTTATTTTTGTTACATTCATATGGAACTTTTCAGGTCCTGGGCTTTGTCTTCTAAGATCTCTTTTACTCATTGAAGATGTTTTAACTTTCCATGCAAAAAGAATGCAGTATAATTCGATATGGTATTACATTCAAGAAAAATAGGAAATTAATGCTAATATAACATATCACCCTTTGTTCTCACTAATTTTTATGTTGTCAGGAAAGTTGCATTTATAATGCCATGTCATCTTGCTTTCACTTTGAATCTTTTCTATACATCATTTTTAACCTATCTTCCTTCCTCCCATACTTTTGTTTTATATTATTTACCTTTCATTGTAATCAATAACTTATCATTTTATTTTCCAAGTAACCTAACATTTGTTCTTAGTAGTAACTCAATCGCATTTTTTTTTCTTTTTTTAATGGTGCTGGAGATCACACTCAGGGCCTCATGCATGCTAGATGGGTATGTCTTAACGAAACTATACACTTATCCCTCATCTACATTCTTAAGTATATAGTTATGTATTTTCAGTAAAATACTATGAGGCAGGGACTGTTCAGACACTTTGCCAACATAGATAATAATGATCCAAATTCTAATTGTCCACCTGCTTCTGTGGCCACTCTTATTAACATGTCTCCAAAAGAAGGCAAGAAGTATCTAAAAACTGCTAGAAATTTAAATTAAGCAATTCTGATGGCAAACTCAGGTCCTCATATTTGATGCCCTTACCCCACATAGTGTTCTTTTATGACTTCACCCATGGGCTTCTGTGATACCTTGCTCACCAGGATATTAAAGAAAAAAAATGTGTTCTCTGTAATCAAAAGGTTTTTCTTGGCGTGAATAGGAAATATCTCTCCCACCTTTTCCCTTTAGAGACCATATACAGGGCCAGATAGTACAGGCTTGTAATCCTAACTGTGAAGGAAGAGTAGAATAAGAGGCTCGTGGTCCAAAGGCAGCTTGGGAGAAAGCAGAAAGAAAAAGAGGGCGTGGCTCAAGTGATAGCTCACAAGTGTAAGGCCTCAAGTTCAATCCCTAGTGCTTTCACAGGAAAAAAAAGAAAGACATCTCTAAGAACAAAAAGAAGCTCTGCTATAACAATCATGTTGGGAGCATGAAAATACAGGAGGTAATCAGCAATTCTTGCCCACCTATTTCTTCCCCAAGCTTTCTCTTTTATCTCAAACCTCTATCAACTCTTACCAGCATCAGGCCTCTTCTGATATCTGTTCCCTCACTCTTTGTCTGGGTCTGGTTCTCTGTCTTCTTGTTGAAATCAGACAGGAGTTCACTTTTCACAATGAACTGCAAGAATACACCTCTGTCTGTCATGACTCCTGTTCATAAACAGAAGAGCCCATAGGGCACATATGACTTAAGAGTTTGTCTTAGCTCCAGATTGCTGGCGCATAAGGAACATTTTCTTATTTTTCTCTTGGGTCAGCAGTCTTTGGAGAAGCCACCCTAAATCCTCTACTTAATGTCTTAAAGTTGGTCTCCACAGTGTGCTCAAATTCTTTCCCACCTTCTGAGGTTGCCTCTCTCACTCCTACTGACTGCATATGCTCCTTACCCTAATGGACCTGTGCCATGAGCACAGCATGGAAAGGTAAGGCAGGAAGAGCAGTTTATACCTCTGTCCTCAGTGAGGAGGGGAGATGCCACATCTGAAAATGAATTACTCTCCTGTGCCTGGACCATAGCTATAGCGTTTTTGTGGCCCCGCACCCATTTACCACTGTGACATCCCATCCCAATTAACAAAACCCATTGAGTTGCACTCAGTATCCTCTGATCTCCTTGAAAGCACAATGTCTAAAATTCTCCCATCCACTTCCATCTATTCCCTTACTTTCTATTTTGAATAGTTCTGTAGGTGGATTTACATCACCTTTACTTTTAAAATTAGCTCTACTCTTAAAGATAGAAATATTTCAATAGTCGATTATTAAGCTGACACTGAAACTTTAGACAACTCTTGGGCAGGTGAGTGGTTACACTGGTGCCACTTCCTCATCTGTTAACCATGGGCACATAAGGATGGTGGTACTCATCTCATTGTCAGATGGCTCCTTTTGCACAATCAATAGTATGGGTGATTTATGCAAAGAAAGAATGGCTAGTTTTCTTTCAGTGTTTTTCAGTTTATCCATTTCCAGTATTTTCTTTTACTGTGTATAGAAATTTCAAACCACTAAAAGATATTTAGATCCATTACGTTGGATGTAGTTTTGCTTCTGTCATCCCACGTTGTCTTTCTCTCCCACTGTCTTATTTCTTTTTTAGCTCTCAGAAATCTCCACTCGAACCTTAATTGTTCAAAATTGGTGCCTTCATATATTGATTAACCTGATTATGTGTTTAACTGATGGAACCCAACATTATCAGCCTTTCATACAGAGCAGAGTCTTTTTTGTCAGTTTATAGTTGAATGGTTTTTCAACTCAGCAAAGTCACAAAATTGGTTAGATGATTCTTAACATCCTCACCATGGACTTTTGCCCCCAGCCAAACACTTGAAAGTGTCTCAGGGCATTTTCTTTTGCTCTCACCCCAAGGACTAAAGGCTGACATATACCATTTCTAGTTGTCAATTTCTGCTTGAGAAGGGGCAGCTACCCCTGTACATTTCCTGGGAGGCTGTACAGTTGTCTTCATCTTGAGAAATCTCTCTTGGGGAGGGCCTGGTATGTCAGGCCCTCTACCAGCTCCACAGGAAAAGTGTCCCACCATTAGGTTCCTGGACCCAGAGCTGGTCTTGCTTTGGCATACCCATTCCAGACTGTCCTGGAGGTTACCTAGTCCCTTCAGGCTTCAGGAGTGATCAGCTTCTTTTCCTTCCAGGGAAAGGAAACCTCTACCCATTTAATTCATGTTCTATATCCATCCATGCAGTCTCTGAATTGCTCCTATTTTGATAATGAAATTTTTGACAAAGAAGCTAATTGTTGAAACACATCCTCAATCATAAGGCATGTCAATACTATTGTATACGTAAATCACATGTGATGAATATCTTACATATATATGTATTCTGTATATATATGGTTACTTTTAATAGTGGGCAGCCTGTTCAGGACTAGTTCTAACAGTCCTAGAACTAACAAAGATGCCTGATTTTTTGCCATTAGGAAACTGTCAGAAAAGGAACAAGAATGAAGGAAGAAGAGTGATAGAAGAAAAAAGTTGTCATCTTAGGCTTAAAATGATGGTTTTCATGTAAATCTCATGAATGTATTTAACTCATGAGATTTGCAAGCTAGAAGCTGGGTGGTTTCAGTTTTAATTAATTGTTTCAGTTTGGATTCAGAAATAATTTGCAGAAACAAAGTTTGTTGTTTTTTTTTTTTTTTTTTTTTTTGTCGGCCATGGGGCCTGAACCCTGGGCCTGGGTGCTGTCCCTCAGCTCTTCAGCTCAAGGCTAGCGCTCACCACTTGAGGCACAGCTCCACTACTGGCTTTTTCTGCTTATGTGGTGCTGAGGAATCGAACCCAGGGCCTCATGCATGCAAGGCAAGCGCTCTACCACTGAGCCACCTTCCCAGCCCCGCAGAAACAAAGTTCTGTGTCATAAAACTGTACCTACAAGTTGTATTATCAGTGGAGACTCATCAGTGAGTTCAAACCAGCTTTTTCCTTCCTTCCTTCCTTCCTTTCTTTTTTGTCAGTTGTGGTATCTGAACTCTGGGCCTGTGCGCTG